CTTGATCGCCACGACGGACTGTGGGATCAGGGCGAACCGCGTCGAGTTTACGTCAGCGGGGTGACGACCGCAGTGGTGGGAGTTAGCACGCGACGGCCGAATCGTCGGTGAGGGTATGAGGTTCGATGATTGGATTTGAGTGAGTGATTGGCCCGGGACCATATTGGAATTAATGGCGAATGCGCCTTTGTTGTTGCGGATCTTTATCTCTGGCGTGAGTGCACGACGGCAACGCCGAACTTCCTTCTTTCGGATCTTGTCATCTCCTATCTTGACTTTCCTCCCTCATCTCTCTCTCTCGCTTTCTTCTATCTTTGAATGATGATGTGTCTCAGTGTTTGTCTCCCCCTTGGATGGGAATAAATCTGTGTGTTTCCCGGTGCGAAAGAACTTCTTCCGGAACTCTTCCATTACTTTCCTGGGTAATCCCCATATATCGAGGAGTCGATCCTCTTGTCTTGTGAACGGTGGATGCATGTGTACGATTCCCTCGGTTGATTTCCGACTTGTGTACCCTCGTCATTTTCGCACCTTCTACAGTGAATGTATGTATGGAGATGCTTGCCTTTTCGTATTGATTAGACGCTGCACTCGGCGGGATTTTGTTCGAGAATGCAAGAGTGTTTAGATCTGTAGTTCTGAATTCATTACGCATGCCATCTGCCTTATGCTGCACGACATCTGTAGTCGATCTACAGGGCAGCCCCGATAAATAAGGCGCTTGGGATCAACACCGCGGTGGCTTACGGAAACCTGAGTCGCGGGCCAGTCCCTCAGATTACATGCATGATCGAGCTGATGAGTGTTTTCTCTCTCTCTCTCGTGTCGAAAAGGATTGATTGGTGATTGCGCGAGTGTTTTTCCTTGATGACGTCTCGGAATTTTTGCACTTGATTGACATGTGGACTGACAAGCACCCTTCGATCGGGCGTCAGCCTCCCGTACCTCCCGTATCAACACGACCTTTTCCTTACGACGAGGAAAGAACACGTGTATGCGAGTGGGACGTACGAGAAGTTGTCGCACGTATCAGCGGGCAATATTACTTCCCTCCCAAAAATCGTTGCTCTGGATTTGTGGATGCTGGATTTGTCATTATCAACACACACTTCCCGCCCTACTCAATATTGCTCCCCTTTAACGAGTTGATTGTCATTCCGTGGACGGCAGTGGCGCCCCATTGGCCTCGAACCCTGTGCACAAAGTGCTAGCGTTTCGATCGTTACGAAGCAAAGGGCTTCCACTACCGAATACGGAGTGAAGACGAGCACAAGGAAAGAGCCACGCGGCTGATACCATCCACGTCAGACTCAGAACTGACCCGCGAGCGACGACGTGATTTGATACGAAAACGAGACACGCGAAGCGTGCCGAAGCCCTTCCGCTCTAAACGACGGGCCGTAGCACGGTGGGAAGCTCTACTTACTTCGTTGGACCAACACGGGGGATTTCAGTTCCGTCTGTGTCCCCACACTCAATTTCCAAAAATCCTTGGCACACCCCATGTTGCTTTTTTTCTGGGCCTCTTTCTGCACATCTAGCACTCCGAACGAAAGACAGCACAGGGCGTGAGGTTGCGCGTCACACCCTTAGGTCCTCTTCCTCTTTTGTTTCAGGGATGCTGACAGCAAGGGCCTCCCTCCACTACACAACACTGTACATGCATTTGTACGCTTTCTTGGCGGAATACATTCACAACGTTGGAATCGTCCGAATGCACCTGGTCCAAATGCATGTACAGTGTTGTGTAGTGGAGCGAGGCCCCAAGTCTACCCGTGCTCAACGGAAGGGAACATAGTAAGGCCCTCCCACTCCACTTTGCGTTTGGGGTCTCGTTCGCCAGCAAGGTTCACAATTGGCAAACTGTTCCCAGTCGGGATTTTGGGCACAGTACATGCCTTCAAACAAGCCCACAGCCTGTACTATCCCCAGTCCTTGTCTACCGGTAGACGCGATTTCCTTGTTTTTTTTTCCGGAAAGTATTTTTCTCCTCGTTTAAAAGCACAAAAAAGTGTCATTAATCGAGAAAAGCACAAAAAAAGTGTCACACATCTCATAATACTTTGCCAGTGGGACAAGGCCCCCGAAAAATGCCGTGTGACGTACATTCCCGTTTTGTTTTTTGTTTTTTTCAAAAGAACCCCTGAAAGGGCAACGCCGCAACGGCCTTGAGATACCCTCGTAGAGTTGATTGTCCCCCAGGTAATTCATAGTCATTTAACGTCCTCATCTGGGTGTGAACTCAGGTCTGTATTTCAACAGATCATTGGTGTAGCAACTAAGCAGGGCTCGTTGGGGTAAGAACGAATTCCATCAGTTCAAATAACATCGAATCACTCTCTAGGTTTTTCATTATTTGAAATGAAACCTCTTCTTCTTTCTTTCTTTCTTTTTTTTCTTTTCTTTTTTCTTTTTTTCTTTTTCTTTTTCTTTTTCTTTTTTCGCGGGCAGGCGGGCGGGCGGGCGGGCGGGGGCGGGGTCTCAGGGGACAGCAGCACGTGCTGGGAACCGGGCCCAGCTTCCTCTGTCCTGTCATGGGTTCTCTATTCCCCCCCCCTACCCGTTCTCTATTCCTGCCCCCTCCCCCCCTCCTGTTTTCTCAATTTCCCTGGCGAGTAGACCTTCTGGACAAACGTTCATGCCAAGTACACCTATTTCATTTCAGCAATTATACCCTTTTCCTCCCTGATTATAACAGCAAAAATACCTGCCTTTTCTCTCTCTTCTTTTGTGTTTTTTTTTCTTACTACAGAAGTTTGTGCATCTTGAGAAAAGGATCCAAAAGCAAAAGCCGCCGAAATTCGATCCACCTTGACCAACTTCGGTGCATTGGGTGTGCAGCTCCATGCTGCAAACCAATCCACTCCAAGCATGACACACTACGATCTGTCTGCCTCCTGTTATTCCGACCTCAAGTCATCCAGCTCCATGCTGCAAACCAATCCCCGCCAAACATGACACAGTACCATCAGTCTGCCTCCTGTTATTCCGACCTCAAGTCATCGCCTAAAGCGGCAGCCATAAGTTCAACGCATAAAGCGGCATCGTCGGCCAAAACGTCAACACCTAAAGCTGCTTCTTCAACTACATCTTCAACAGAGAGTCCATAACGAAGGCCAGACGTGCACCAGCATGCTGATCAAGCTCCATAGTACTCGGTAAAGGAGCATCCTCCTGCGGGCACGCCACACCCACACACCAACGCACTCTCGACTCAGCATGCCAGTATAACCACGCCTAACCCCATGGCTATAACCACGCCTAACCCCATGTCCAGGAGCGGCAGGGGCGGATGAGACCAGTCAAGCATCATGGCAACTCAACCATGGCGGTGGCGAGCGCCGCCGGCCCCAGCCCGCAAAGTGGTCGCCTTGCCTCACCCAAGCAGCTTCGGGCTATTGCGCTAGACCACTCCGCAACGCTCTCCCGCAGTCCGCAAAACATCACCAAACTGCAAGCTGACCAGCCCCAGGCAATTGGATTCGAACTTAGGTCTGGATTTCAACAGTTTATGGGCTTGGCTGGCGGAAACTTTTGCCCGGCCGTTGGTGATCGGATGACAGCGAAGTTTCGATGTGGATATTCATCCTATGCTATTTTTGTTTGTTCTATGAAAGGGTCGTCACAAAATAAAGACGAAAAAATAAAATAAAATAAAATAAATAAAGACGACATTCACGATTTGATTGGTTCCAATCTCAAATAAAACCCAAAAAATCAGGTTCTCGAGGGGGGTGCTCTCCACCACAAATTTTGGCACGGTGAAAAGAGGGCAACCCC